AAGTACCCAAACCGGTTCTTCTCCTTTACGGTTCATATGCTAATTTCCAGATTGCTTCACTTTTACAGATTTTTCCCGTCATCATCAAAACAAAGGAAACCCAATAACAACCTCCCCCAACTTAATGCATCTTTGTTCCTTATTATTAATTTAGAAATCTCCACGCACAGAATGCACTCAGAAGTAAATGTGAGGAGTAGAGATCCAGTGAAAGTAAAAACCTCTCTGCCTGTTTTCCCTGCCACCTGGCTGTCGGCGCTGTCGCTCGCTCTCTGGGGGGCATGAGCAGCCGCGGGGTAAAGGTGGGGGGCGGGGAGGGAGCATTTTCCCCCCCCCCGGAGCTAGAGGCAGTTGGCTTCTCGCCAAAGGAAAGCCTCTTGTTCCAGGGTTCCCCGTTCCCTATCCACTCAGCGTTCGTCAAATCGGCCAGGTGTGGCATGGCTGTCTTTACCTCTTCTGTGAAGGGGGAAGGCAGCAGCAGCACAGAAAAATGTTCTGTGTCGGGCAAATGCCCAGAGCTGGCGTCCCAGTGAAGGTGGGAGCAGCTCTGGAATATTCCTACATCCCTTTAACCCTGAAAACTTCCCCCCCCAGAGCTAGGGGCAGTTGGCTTCTCGCCAAAGGAAAGCCTCTTGTCCCGGGGTTCCCTGTTCCCTGTCCAATCAGCGTTCGTCAAATGGGCCGGATATGGCATGGCTGTCCTTACTTCTTCTGTGAAGGAGGGGGGCAGCAGCAGCGCAGAAAACGTTCTGCGTCGGGCGAACGCCCAAAGCTGGCGTCCCGGTGCATGGGAGCAGCTCTGGCATATTCCTGTATCCCCCTAACCCTGAAAACAAATAGTTTTAGTCCCCAAGATGAAAGATTCTTGGGTCAATTCACATACCCCACAGCCTTAAGCTATGTCAGGGGTATGCGCGGTGGAACGGTCTCCTGAAACAACCAAGGATTAGCCTAGTTGATCAGGAGGTGTCAGTAGCCGAGGTTGGAAGCCACCCTAACTGGCTCAGGTAGAGTCACCCAAACAGACTCAAGTAAAATTTAATTTGGAGATTTCTCTTTTTATAATGGGAACATAAGTCTTAAAATTACCTGTTTTCTCAAGTTCAATACAAATTGTCTTACTCACTTTCCCATTTTCATATCAACCTTTATATTAACTTTTACCCCAGGTTTGACTAGAAAATCTTCATTGTTA